GAAATGAGAAATAGTGTGAACAACTGCAAACTGCCTGAACTCTTGGATAGCATTGGAAATATGTTGGAAAATTCCAGGCTATTCCCCAAAGCTGTGTTCAGCTGTAGACAATAATGTCTTCAAAGTCTCATGACATTTCAGTTTAAGGATTTGAAATGTATTTCTGTGTATTTGGTTTTTTGAAGAGAAGGGAAAACTTAAAATCATCCAAATGTTTTCAGGAGAGATAGATTTATTAAGTTCTGAGCTGCTGAAGCCACAGTGATGTCCCACAGGCACATATGATTTAGTGAGGAAATTAAGCAATCGAAGAGCATTTCTTTTCAGTAGTAGGAAGGCATGTAAAGGATGTTGTTCTAGAAAGTTCATGTGTGAGCCCTTCAGAAGATGAAAAGGGAAACAGTAATTTAGCCATAGAAATGTATTGTGATAACAGCCAAGCATCTTAAGTTTGGCAAGACCTGGATTACAGTGACGAATATGGAAAATTGAATTCCTATTGAAAGTAACTTAGACTCTAAGAAAGTCAAAAGAGAAAATACTATTTAGATAGCAAGAGAGAAGAAAAAACTCAAATTGTTCTGTGTAGCTGTGAACAATCAAAATGGACTGTGAAGAGAAGTCAGCATTAACAGATAAAGTTAATGTTTTCTGAACAGTTTAGATTTTGTTTACATCCTGAATACTGTGGCCAGATTTTCAAAAATTCCTTTGTCTGCCAGCTGCCTTTGAGAATGGTGAAATTAAGACATGCTCTCTGACACCTCACATAGAGTATTCTATTTTATTTTCCCAGGAATTTATATGAAAAAAAAAATTTGCTTGTCTTAGGGAAAAAAGTTTGAAACAAGAAAGTCTTTTAGGAAAAGATGTTGCCTTTACACAACTCATTAACAGAATTAGCAGAAAAAAAACCCAACCAAAACTAACTATTAGCATCAGGATTATTTAAAAGAGACGATTAAGAATGGCTGGCATGGCTCTCCAGGTTGGGTCAGCTGGTGAGTGTTAGCCTGCTGCCTAAGTGTCTGTTAGCTGCAGTGGCACTGATGGCTACGTTGGCATTTTGTTCAGCTGGATGATTCCTCCCTGGGTATATGGGATTTGATTTTAGACTCAGTACTTTTCTGAGAATATAGCAAGGGTTTGAATTATGATTATTTTTGAGGGGAAGTTTGCTCATATGAGACAACATCTTTCTCGAAGAGATTTCAGTGTAGCTGCAAGGATGATTCAGGTGTTGACATTTTTCTGTAGCAACTATCTTTACACTCAAGCAGGCAATCTTTAAGGTGAGTGTTGGGAAACAGCGTATGTAACAGTTTATAGTGCAATTTACAGTTGGCATAAGAGCCCCATGCTGCCTATGATCTGCATAGTGTTTGGAGTGGATCCCAGCTGCTACGATGAAAATGATCCCTTACTCATTTCCCAACACTCACCTTAAAGATTGCCTTCTTGAGTGTAAACATGCAGTTTCAAAAGTGGCCAAGTGTTGAGGTATGTGCTGCACCTACTGCTGCCTCATATGAATTTCAGCCAAGGCAAGATAGGTGCCTTTTCAGGTAGTTGTGAAAATTGGATAGTCTGAAATGTCAGGTTTGGGTTTTGTTTTTTTTTCTTTTCTTTCTATGCCATTAATCAGCTTTTGCATGATGGCAACTGTACTAATCTGAGCTCAGTTTCACTGGTACAGTTGAGCGGAGAATTTAGAGCTTGTAGGCAAAACAAGTGGTACTGAAGTGTCTTTTGTCAAGAGCAGATAGGTATTTGGTCAGGGTCAAAGTAGAGGACTGGAACACACTCAAAATCACATTTATCAGATATGAAAATATATGTCTACTTATACAATATGCTAATATATTTGTATTGTAGCAGGAGAGACTACCTGTGGGACTCCTGCTAACAAAGGTAAAATGGGTGTACTTGAATACTCTTTGAGACCTGAGAAGAGATACTTCAAAGCAAAAATTTAAATTAAGCTAAAAAGAGAGTCTGAGGCTAGTGACTGCAG